ACCAGTCTTTTCCATTTGAGAAATTAAAACCAAAAAAAAAATACTGACTTCACGTATAGCCATGTTGAAATAACAGGGACCTGATTTACCCCTCTTGAAATCACCAAACCATAAAATGCATGAAAAAATACAGTTTCAGGACACTGGACAACAGGCAACAAAGGACAGTAGTGGAGAAAATGAGATCGGTTTTTAGGATTAGCAGAGCTTCCAGTTCTGTTTCCAGGCTGCAGGGCAGGGCGGGAGAACACCAGTGGAGTTGGAAGGCACCCCACGTTGAGGAGACAGAGCCAAGAGTCCAGAGGAACCAATGAACCAATGTAGCTAGAGATTGAGGGACTGGAGAGAGCTGTGCAGAAAAATAACTCCAAAAATACGCACAGCACTGTGCACCCCCCACTTTGCAAGTCTTCAGCTGAGTTCTGTTAGTACAAGCATTCATATGGAGTAACTGCTCAAGACAATGGAAAACATCTGAATGACGCAGAACAACGTCTGGTGCTCATTTGAAGCAGGGAGCAGAGCCTATTCCCACCGGTGAGACTGGGAAACATGACTCATGGAACTCTGGATGGAGTACACAGGTCTTGCTTCAGTAATGGGGAGTGATTGGTCCTGGACTCAACACTGCTCTGGTCCTTCCTAACAAATCTTGCAAACAGCAAAACAAAAAGGATCAGTTTCCAAATAACTGCATCCCAGAAAAAAGCTCTGGAATTTTTACAGGAATACAGAAATACCCACCATCAATTCCTAGTGTCTGGCATCCAAAAATTACCAGACATGCAAAGAAGCAGGAAGATATGACCCATAATGACGACAAATGACACAGATGTGAAAATGAGCAGGTAAGGGTATTAGAAGTTAATTATAACAGAACTCCTTATTCTCAAAAAGTAATGATATGGAAGATAAAAATGTTCAAAATCAAACATGGCAGGTGAAAATTATAACGTAGGAGGTGGAAAATACACTGAATGGAACTGACAACAGACTAGTCAGTGCAAAAAAAATTTAGGTGAAGTTAAAGACATTAAAAACTATAAAAAATGAACACTAGGGAAAAAAGCAAATTTAAAAAATGAATTTATCTGTGAGCTGTAGGACAGTCTCACGGACCCTAATATATATGTAACTGGAATTTCCTAAAAGGACAGAGGAAAAATATTTGGAAGAAATAGTGACTGAAAAATTACCAAATTTGATAAAACTGTAAACTTAAAGAGATCCGAGAAGCAGCAGCCACGCAGCTTTCTGATGTTTTGAATGCAAACAGGCCCTTCCTGTGTACTAGAAATATTGCTGTCTATTAAAAAGTCTCTCTCAATCCAAGTAAATGTCTGATGACAGATACTCTAGTAGTTTATCTGGGCAAAACAATTTTTTTTCCAAATAAACTCATACTCTGAAGGCAAAAGGTTTTCTAAGAGACACATCCAGTTTCCTTGAGTTTGTGAGTTAGCTATCCCCAGATCAAGGGCCATTTTCAATGTTCCACTTGGAATTACAGATTTTTCTATTTTGTAAGTCACATAAAGACATTTAATGGAAGAGTCTTATGCCAAGGATGTTATGAAATTGATGGTATACTCTCTGATAAGCTAAGACATCCTGTCCAGGTTATGTACCAATTGTTCCCAATTAACTCTCTGAGCTCTCAGAACCAGTTATATCGTAGGTACAGTTTATCAACCCGGGAAGGACTGGGGGGATCCAGAGAAGTAAGCAATGAAGACGCAAGAAGTACCTAACTGGAATGAAAACTGAAGGCTTGAGGCAAAATTTGCTTTATTTTATATACTTGTTCAAAAAATTGTCACTTGAGCTCTACAGAGCTCTGGAGGCATTACTTTCACTATCATAAAATAATTATAAAATGGGTATTAGTCCAATCTGAAAATATTTAATACCGTGATTTCTCATAACTGCAGACCACCACCATGTGAACAGCAGGAAAGGGTTCCTTCAACAGCTCTGCGTTTCACTCCCAGTGACTTGTCATGTACAGCTCCTCCAGTGGCCACCATCAATGTTCAGGAGGTTTCCTTTTCTAGTATTTTTCTACAGTTTCTTGAGTCATACTTAGATTTAAAACTGGGAGATTCATACAGTCTCTAAGAATTCTAAACAGCTCTGTGGAATCCAAAATTCTTAAAAGTTTATTCTCTTTATTAAAAATATTAATTGTACACACACATACACATAGAATTGGAGGCATTTTTGAAGAATACTACCACCACTCTTGCTTTTGCCAATGCCTAGTTCTGCCACTTGAACCCCAGCTGCCCCAGATGCAAATATACTGAACCATCTTTCCCCATCACAGGTGCCACAGCCCGTGTCTTATCAGTTTCTTGAAGGGAACTGAGAGAAATAATAAGCACACACTTAAGAGTCAATATTTATTCTGATTAATATGTTACAAAATTTTGACAGATTAAATTTATGTAAGGAGCACTAATTTATTAAACATTTTACAGGTTTTTCTTTCCACAGAGTAATACAGTAAGTAGCAAAATAATACTTGGCACAGTTATAAATAAAGAAAATATAAAATAAAAACACCCACAGCTTTCATACAATGATGCTGTTTTTATGCTTATTAATATTTCAAATAAATTCCTGGGAACAATAAAAATATGAAGGAAAAAAAACTCCAAAGAACTAATTCATATTCAGAATTGAGAAATAAGTTCCTATTTGCTAAAAGTATCCAATTAAGCTGATATGAACTATTCCAGGAAGGGTCACCTTCATACACAACTTTAGAATTGGGTTAAGCTGGTTCCACGCATAAGACCCACAAAAACACTGAACAGACAGTACGCTGCTGTGCCGCTGGCTCCTGACCATCTGACCATTTCTGAGTGACAGATGTCACTGATGCTAAGAGATGTTAGTACTAAAGCAGTAACATGGCTAGTATCTTCCATGTACTTACACACCTGGAGTTTTTTTCTATTTAACTGAAAGCCATCTCTTTTGCACCAAAAAGAATATTGTACCACAAAGAAAACACGGTAACAACACTCTTACCCAAACCCAGAATGCCATCACTGTATTTGACTATTAATAAAAAGGTATTAGATAAAAACTGCAACTGAGTCTTCATGTGAAGTGGCTCAAAATACAAAAAATTAAAACGAATTCTAGCCTTTTATAAATAACTTTGAATTTAAAAATTATCTAAAATTGCCCCCAATTAGTAGTCAAAACTAGCAGACATATTTGTAAAATTAACCAATTTTTTACATCCTATGACAAAATGGCATAATGCTATTGCCACCCCACACCCATCTCTTCCCTTTTCAAAAATAAAGTACATATGCCAATTTTCTAATATTAAAACACTAACATACACACAGGGCAATCATTTTGATGTGTGACTTGTGCTCAAAGAAACTACTATATAAAAATGGTACTTGGAAATACTGAACATCAACTATGTACACTTTCACTGCTCCTCTTACTAAGGCAAGGGGCGGGTATACCACTAGATTGCTTTAATTCCTGTAATCTGCATTTTACAGAGAATACTAATTTTACCAAGCATCAGACATGCAGTGAACTTGCAGGGTATAATGCCTATTAACAGCAATATTGAACATCACTAGAAGCTCATTAGTTATCTCCCTTTTCTTTTTGGTTGGATAAAATGAAATGAGCAGCTTTAAATATACTAACACAGACACAAAGAGAAAACTATTTGATAAATTATTTATATACAGATACACAATCTTTACACTGTCTAGGATCTGTCATCAGTCTGGCCACCTTTTCCTTCCCTCCCCGAGCCCGTCTGCTCTCTCGGGTTTCCCACAGGTTGCTCGAACCACAGTTTGCCACAGCACTAAGAGAACTAAACCGAGTCTCCTCCGTACACAGCATTTATGGATGCAGTGACTAACAGTTCACCATGAGAGGATGGAAATGCTGTAACAAAAACTGATCAGTGCATCACGTTTGACAATAAGAAAATCTTTCTGAAACTGTTTCAGACAGCATTTACAAACTTCAAAACATTCAATATTGGGAAAATTGAAATAGTCTTGGGGGTTAAATTCTTTCTGATAGTTTCCTTTTAAAAACCAGAATATATACCATTATCATTTTCTTTTATTCACATGTGCTGTATGTACAGGGATCATGCTCCATCTTTAGCGGAACTTCATTATTTTGCAGCTTAGACTTTTATGTGTATCCATTTGTCTCTATGACTGAGAATTTTGCATTTACTTATTCTGTCTTTTCTTGAAAATACCTCAACTCTTAAAAATCGAACTGTTTGCACATAAAATTAAATTCTAATTTATGTTTTACTGGATAGTATGTGCTAGTATACATTCTAGAGGTGTATCATGCACTTAGTAGGGCTTTTAAGTTTGAACAAAATTGTATGACTGACTATACTCATGCAAATGATCCTTATCAGACCATAAAACCTCAGGGCATTACTACAAATTATTTCACTGAACTAGAAATACATCAGCTTTGCAACAGCTGACAGCAATAAAATAGTCAGTACATTTTTTTGGGGAACATTATTTTCTCTTGCCTCTGAAGACACATTACAGTAGATCCCTAATATAACCACATGATTTTCATCACAGTATTCACATGTACATTCTATAATGTACATAGAACTAGTCTGGATCAATTTAAGAAAACTCTCCTAGAATTAGGCAATACTCATAGACTGTACCATAAAATTTAGCTGTATACCATAAATTCAGTTTTAGCTAGAATTGAGTATCTCTGAATCGAAGTTTCAGCCCATGTCTGCCAACAGAGTAAGTTCACTCTTTGTGAAAATGAGAACAAAACAAAAACGTTGAGTATGTTGTGAATTCCCATGTTAAGAGCCATTAAAATTCTTTTTCAGATCTTTATTCTTCCCAGAAGTGGCAGTGTGTTCTGTCCATGTTTACTTTTGTTAATAAAAGTGTTGAAAAAAAAAGACTGTAAAATTCACTGTTAGCCCTACATATAGCATATATTTATATACAGATACACAATCTTTACACTGTCTAGGATCTGTCATCAGTCTGGCCACCTTTTCCTTCCCTCCCCGAGCCCGTCTGCTCTCTCGGGTTTCCCACAGGTTGCTCGAACCACAGTTTGCCACAGCACTAAGAGAACTAAACCGAGTCTCCTCCGTACACAGCATTTATGGATGCAGTGACTAACAGTTCACCATGAGAGGATGGAAATGCTGTAACAAAAACTGATCAGTGCATCACGTTTGACAATAAGAAAATCTTTCTGAAACTGTTTCAGACAGCATTTACAAACTTCAAAACATTCAATATTGGGAAAATTGAAATAGTCTTGGGGGTTAAATTCTTTCTGATAGTTTCCTTTTAAAAACCAGAATATATACCATTATCATTTTCTTTTATTCACATGTGCTATATGTACAGGGATCATGCTCCATCTTTAGCGGAACTTCATTATTTTGCAGCTTAGACTTTTATGTGTATCCATTTGTCTCTATGACTGAGAATTTTGCATTTACTTATTCTGTCTTTTCTTGAAAATACCTCAACTCTTAAAAATCGAACTGTTTGCACATAAAATTAAATTCTAATTTATGTTTTACTGGATAGTATGTGCTAGTATACATTCTAGAGGTGTATCATGCACTTAGTAGGGCTTTTAAGTTTGAACAAAATTGTATGACTGACTATACTCATGCAAATGATCCTTATCAGACCATAAAACCTCAGGGCATTACTACAAATTATTTCACTGAACTAGAAATACATCAGCTTTGCAACAGCTGACAGCAATAAAATAGTCAGTACATTTTTTTGGGGAACATTATTTTCTCTTGCCTCTGAAGACACATTACAGTAGATCCCTAATATAACCACATGATTTTCATCACAGTATTCACATGTACATTCTATAATGTACATAGAACTAGTCTGGATCAATTTAAGAAAACTCTCCTAGAATTAGGCAATACTCATAGACTGTACCATAAAATTTAGCTGTATACCATAAATTCAGTTTTAGCTAGAATTGAGTATCTCTGAATCGAAGTTTCAGCCCATGTCTGCCAACAGAGTAAGTTCACTCTTTGTGAAAATGAGAACAAAACAAAAACGTTGAGTATGTTGTGAATTCCCATGTTAAGAGCCATTAAAATTATTTTTCAGATCTTTATTCTTCCCAGAAGTGGCAGTGTGTTCTGTCCATGTTTACTTTTGTTAATAAAAGTGTTGAAAAAAAAAGACTGTAAAATTCACTGTTAGCCCTACATATAGCATGCTGTAGTTCGCAGGATGTGGATTCGAGTGCGAGAGAGACACGGACAGACAAAATTTTCAGGCACCACTCAGCAGTATGCTTCACAGGATAAAGATGCTGCTACACAAGCTGGTACCCAGATCCTGATATCTGGTCATATTCTATTGTATACTGCCTGGTCCAGTCCACAGTAACAGGACGAAAGAGGCCACAGCATCGAAATTCAAAGAAGTCTATAATATTCCTTACACATCCATGGCTAAGACAACCCCCCAAAAAAGAAAAAGAAAAGTCTATTAGTACAACAACTTATCATAGGAGTTTAATATAATTTGTGTTACATACATTTTTTTCTAAACTTAAAAACTCAGGTTACTTACCAGAAAGAACCTAACTCTACAAAATATATATGCTTTCAGGTTTCTTCACAGATCTGCTGACACTAAATTTTCTTTACCCTTTTGCTAAGTTTAATGGATTACACAACTATATAGTTATTCACATTTGCATTTCTTTCATTCCTGTGTCTTATGCAATTTCTGATAAAACCTTTCTTTGACTGATAACTCTTTGGCAAGGAATAAACTGTACCTAAAATTGAGAGCACAGAAGACCAATAACTACAAGGAGCATGAATCTGGCAGTGTAGGTAAGAGCAACAATTTTTAAAAAGACATAACAAGGACAAGTTCAGGGAATTTTAGGACTTTAGTAACACCCAGAAAAGCAGTCACTTTTACATCTTATATAATTACTTTGCCTATGGGAGAATTCTCAAAACTATCCAATTGACTCTCTTATTTTTGCTTTTATTTAAAGGTTTGTATGCTTTCCAGAAGCATGAAATAATTAAGAACACTACGAAAGACTGAAGGTAGTAGGTAAGTAGCTTGAACAGAACTTATAAGTTTTACCTATTTAGGAAACTGTTTCTTAGCATCAAACTGAATGCAAATTTTAAAAATAAATACATATATAAAGAAAAGGACAGCCCCTTCAATAAATGGTGCTAGGAAAACTGGACAGCCACCTGTAAAAGAAAGTTGACCACTTCTTTCACCACACACAAAAATAAACTCAAAATGGATTTCAATACTTGAATGTAGGACATGAAACCATACAACTCCTAGAAGAAAATGCAGGCAGCAAGAAGCTCCCTGACGCTGGTCTTGGTGACAAATTTTTGAGTCTGACACCAAAAAAGCAAAGGGAACAAAAGCAAGAATGAACGCGTGGAGCAACATCCAACAAAAGAGCTTCTGTGCAGCAAAGGATGCCAAAAAGAACTCATACAACTTGACAACAAAAAAACAGTCCAACTAAAAAATAGGCAGGAGACCTGAAGAGACATCTTTCCTAATGTCTATTAGAAGACACACAGATGGCCAACAGGACCATGAAAAGATGCTCCACCATCGCTAATTATCAGGGAAACAAATCAAACCACAAGAAGACATCACCTCACACCTGTCAGAATGGCCAATATAAAAGGCATGAGATAACAAGTATTGGTGAGGATGTGGAGAAAAGGGAACCTTCTACACTGATGGTGGGAATGTAAATTGATGCAGCCACTATGCAGAACATTGTGGAGTTCCCTCAAAAACTTAAAAATAGAACTATCCTGTGATCCAACAGCTCCATTTCTGGGTCTTTATTAAAAATATACCCCAAAACACTAACTGGAAAATATAACCAACACTCTCATATTCACTGTAGCATTATTTACAAGAGCCAAAATACAGAAATAAACCGAAGTTCACTAATGGGTGAATGGAAAAAGAAAATGTGGTGTGCACATATAGATATATATGCACACCCACACATACACACATACACATATACATGTACACCCACACAAACACTGAAATACTATTTTGCCATAAAAATGAAATCTTGCCATCTGTGACAATAAGGATGGACCTAGAGCACATAGTGAAATAATACAGAAAAAGACAAATACCATATGATTTCAATTATGTGTGAAATCTGAACAAACTAACAGAACCAAGCTCACTGATAAAGAGAAGAGGTTAACCAGTGGCTGCCTGAGGCTGGGGGTAGGAAGGTGGGCAAAAGAGGTGAAGGGGTTAAAAGGTATAAACTTCCAGTTTTAAGTCATGGAGAGGTAATGTATTCAGCACAGTGACTGTATTTAATAATACTATATTGCACATTTGAAAGTAGCTAGGTGCAGATTTTAAAAGTTCCCACAAGAAAAAAAATCCTGCTATGTAAGGTCATGTTAGTCAGACTTAGTGTGCTCATCATTTCACAAGGTACACAGACACTGAATCGTGCATCTGAGATTAATATAATGTTACACATGTCAATTAAATCTCTATTTTTAAAAAGGAAAAAATAAAACTCGATATGTGGAAATTTTTAGTATCAGAGGGCAAATAAAATAAATAATTTGCACTGAAAAGCTGCTGCACTAGAGTCTGGGAAATTTCCCTAAATATGAATTTCAGTTGATGGAAATTTATAAACTGATGGAAAGGTTAAAGAACAAATACTAAATAGTAGTAATTCAATAAGGTTTCAATTGTGCAATTAAGAAAAAGAATATCAGAAATTTACATATAATTAATTAGATGAATCCTAAAGTTCTGGTGAACTAACCAATGCTAGGTCTGCAGAAACCATAGAGATAGGTAGGATTTATAAGCTGTTTTACACATTGAGAAATAAAAGCAATACTTCCTATTTCATATCCTTTTGCCATACATAAAGAAAATATTTATCTTTGACATATTCACTAGGTATTTGCTGAGTTCAGTTAGTAAAGAACTTTATATGCCAAGGGAAATTATTAAATTTATAAACATGTACATACTTGAATGGGCTTTCAATAGATGTTGTTGTGACTTTAAAGTGCTTGTATCTTCTGGCATTCATTCTTTCATTTGTAGTAATACCTAGACATGATATCTAAGGATGAAAAAGCAAACCATTAACTCTCTTTGAATACTTAATGTAAAACATGTTAATTCTGAAGAGGACCAGTATGGAGAGAAAAATGATGAAGTTTGACTTTGTTTTCCATCACATCATCAAGTCAAACTAGTTTGCGTGATAGCGTTTTGACTCTGAAATGCAGCCAGTTAATCGGAAAATATTTAAAAACAGGTTAATTGGCATTATACATGTGGACAGATAAACACTATATACACAGATTTCTCCATCAGCCACTTCAAAAATAAACTAAAAAAAAAAATCCCTAATTAAAAAAACTCAAATACTATTTGTAGGTAATAAAACATTACTATTAAAATGAACACAAGATTAATGGTGTCATCAATCTAAGCCCATACATATATCCAACTGGATGTACTTGAATCAGGAACAAACAAAAAGTTCTGTCAAAAATAGTACTGTAAATCAAAAGTTCTACTGTAAGAAGAGGAAAGAGGGAAATAGAAAGGAAAAGTCAACTGAAAACTTTAACCCTGAAAAGCGTGGTTAGGAGAGTTCATCATCTTTGAAGGAAGGAGTGAATCTAAGATGTCCAGTTAGTGCACTGCAGAGCAGATGCATGACTTGCACATACCTGGTACATCTGACACATGAGCAACACAGCAACCCACATGAAATGAAAAACACTGTTGAGAAACATCCAAAACATCCAAGGCGAGCACGTGGCAATCTGAGTGATATACGTCCAAAACCCGTCCTTGGTGTAAGTGGTCTCACAGTGGAGTCCCCAGTCTGGAACCAGAGCAGAAGTACTCTCGTTTACTCAGTGATCACCCAAGACCCTCATGCAGGCATCTGTGGTAGGTGCCACTTAGAAAACATGATCCGAGAGTCTAGAATTAATCAATGACTTTCAATGCAAATTTAAAAAATTTTAATACTCTTAAATATACATTATGTAAAAATCATCCAAGACAGAAATGGAAAAGCAGCAATCCTAAAAAAAGAGTACTTACTATAATAATAGTTGACCCTTGAACAACATGCATTTGAACTGCTTGGTTCCACTCATATGTGGATTTCTTTTTAATGAATAAAAAGGAAAAATTTTTTGGAGTTTCGCAAAAGCTTGAGAAAACATTATATCTAGCTTATTTTATTATAAGAATACAGTATATAACACAAATAACATACAAAATACACACTGACTGACTATGTCTGTCATCAGTAAGGCCCTGGCCACCAGCCCCATGTTGGTCAAAGGTCAACTGTACACAGTTTTTATCTGACTGGTATTGTATGTATACAGTGCCTAAAAGAACATTTTCTTTACACAAAGATGAGATGATACATAGAAGTTAAGACTTTTTGTGGGTGGGGGGTATATAGCATAACAAGATTACCTTGGTGAAGGAAACTTATTCCAAAACAGTATCTATTCTTTGAGAGCTGCTGCCAGATAGAACTACTGTTACTAGCAGGGCCATGTTCTCTCAAGGCGTAGTGGGTCAAAATTAGTTCAAGATCTTTGACCATATCTATTAATTTCTATTTGAAGAAGTAGCCTCTTTTTTTTATTATGGCAGTAACAGAGATTACTCTTACTATCTGTGGGAACAGGAGGACTAGGAAATTATCCTTGTAAGACTTATTTTTAAGCCAGGATCTACTACATCTTTATGCTGAGTACCACCAGAGCCTAAAGCATAGTAACATATCTTCATTTAAACCCTTTCCAAATTATGTTCTCAACAAAGAAACATCATTTCTTCTAAGATACTATACCCACATGATGAGGTGAATGACAACTCATTCTTAAAAAAGCAACTTCTAATACCTCTTAACATCCTCTAGAAGACAATAATTATACCTCACTTTTCAAAATATTTCAAGTTCTAATGCAAACTTAACTTCAATTATACTTCCCCAACTGTTTCATAAAAACTAGCACAATCACAAAATCTGTGAACTACTAAAGCAAGCAGATGTGAAAAATGTTGGTGTATTTTAGCCAGTAGCTTTTCAAAGCCTACTAACATTAAGCAGACACATTTTTCAGAGAACACACTAGTAATTCTGCTAATACTCTATGTTGAATATGTGTGATGGTTCTGTATCTATAGTTCTTTCTGCTTCTTTGTAGTGAGGTGCCCCAAACCGTGATTTTTAGTTAAAAGACTTGTGATTATCCTATTTTACTGTTAATATGGAACCATGAGTTTACAAACATTTGTGTCTTAAGAAAGTAAAAAACTAATTGTACTCACAAGAAATACAACCATAAATCATCCAGCAGATCATAAAAAGCAAGAAGAATAGGTAGCCCATAAAGTATCTATGGTTGCCTGCACCTAAAGAATAACACAGAAGCAATTTTTTTCAGCTAAGATAAAACTGGAAGTACACCTTTTGGGGGTTGTGGGTGGCGGGGGAGATGCCATGAAAGGTGTGATACAAGTTGGACATTAATCACATACACTGTTTATGTTATAAAATGTTCTTCAAGAAATTAAAATGCTTTAATAACATCTTAAAATAAGAAAGCTTATATTACAAAGACGTGATGGCTGCAGTGACACTTGTTCTGAAGGCAAGTGTCCCAGTGCACCAATGACAACGTGAGCTTTAGCTCTATTGTTTGCTTGCTGAGGTCTACCTTAACCCTAACTCCCCTCTACTCTGATAAATTTTATACTCCGGTTTTTTAAAGGCTCTTCTCAAACAGGGTCACACAATCTTGGTAATGTTTCCCTGCTGTCAACTCATAAAACCCCAAGGGCCCCCTCAGACCCCTTGGTTCTTGCCCTAAGAATACACCATTCCTGACCACTGAGGCATGTGGAATTCTTACCTGTTATTCCTTTCTGCCTTTGTACACCACATTCTTTCAAATATGTTTATTCCCTCACTTTCTCTACTTTTACCTGTCTCCTTATCAATTTCACTGTCTTTCAATGGAGAAAATAGGAAAGAACAGCACCTGAAAGAACTGACAAGAGAAACTGTATTGCTCTTTCCTAGACACTGACTTTGTACCTTTTTTCCCCTCTGACAACTGAGTTGCTGTCCTGTCAGCAAGAAGGTAATTGAGGGACTGGAGGTGTAGTACGTACAGAAATGAACTTCCTACTATCTACTTGAATATGGTACTTCATTACCTACAATAACTTAAATGAACAATGTATTTAGAAATTATAAACACAACTTACCTACACAGTTGCCCACCCATGGGCAATGATGATCGAATTTTGCTATGCAGCGGTTGCACACACCACAATGTTTGGACCTCACTGGTTTCCGTATCTGTTAACAGGTAATGTTAAAAGATTATGGAAGGCACTATACCCAAGGGAGAAGAAAAGCTGAATGCTTCTTTTCTCAAAATTATGAAAATCAAATCATATTTTTTGAAAAGGATTATAACAAAATTCCCAAAGGGATAAAGCCAAACAAAAACCACTATTGCTTTTTAAAATCTCAACCACAACAACAAAGACAAAAAGGATGAGGCTGAGGTGCGGACCATTCGTTCACAAAGTGATTAAGAATCAAAGTCCAGGTGGTGTTGGGACGAATGATAGTACCTTTATGTCATATCGCTCAAATTTCTGAATGAAAACATATTACTCTCCAGGGTTCTAAATGAAAATGTATTGTGACTAATAGTCATGATAATAGTTGTTTAAGAAAATGAAACTGTTCTTTTCGAAAAATGTCAAAGGTGAGTGAAAGCTTTTAAAATTCAAAATCATTAGTAAAATGTCATCCTAAAGTTAACAAACCTAGCAATCAACAGTACGTGCACACATTTTTCTGTGCCTCCTGAGAGCTCAGATTAACGTACAGTGTTTTCTTCTGCCAAACTGTATGACCAACAGACAACACGCTTAAGAAGTTCAGGCAATCCCTATTTCTTGCAAAAAACATAAAATCCTTAATTCAGCTTACAACAGGTACTAAGTCATGTGTATAATGCCTTCCTGTTTTAAAAAGTGTTGTGCAATGTTTTACTCTGCATTACATCAGCCCCATGAACATACACAGTGATTTCAAAGGGCAACTTGTATCTCCATGCTGGACACATGGTGGGGCTGGAAGTATTAGCCAGAGACCAGTTTGTAACATCCTTCACTGCTGGCTCAGTCAAAGCACTGCCAGGACCCCAGTGTACAGAAGACTGCCCGCTGCCCTGAGGTACTAAGGAAAGGCATGTGGGTCATGCAGGTTCTGCAGGTAACTAAACTGATCTGTGGGCCAAAGAAAACAGTAAGTCATTTTTCACCACAGGTGTAAGACTAAACATACTTAGAGAAAGAAGTAGGATATATTCAATCCTACCCCCCACTCCTAACCCTCAGCTGTATTTCCCCATTGGCAACACTTGTCAATGAATTCTGAACTACTGACACAAGGCTCCTGAACATGACAGTCTCTTTGACAATGACAGAATAATCAATGTTTAGGGAATTCTGATCTACTTGTGTCTTCTGAGGGACCTGTCTATGAAAGCGAAGGATACCTATATAAACACCTGTTAATCTTAATTACTTTATAATAGGATATGCTGGTTATTTTACAACACTAAATTACCCATCCAGAAGTACACAACTTACAATAACATAATATATAATAAAACACTTATCCTGACAAGAATAGTCTTGTTTTTGCCATCAGATATTTAACAGTGAAACTGTACTGAGTGACTCTATATAAAGAATTTGTTTTTCATATGGCAAATACATCAGCAATACATATTTGACTTTGTGGAACAGAACAGTATTTCTACAAAATGTCCTCAACATAAGAATGCCAATCCTGTAAACTATCCTTTGTAAAGAACAGAAATAAAAACCTTTGAATGCTTCAGAACACAAAGAATCTAGTCAGCAATCTCAACTTGCTCCCGAAAGTAAAGCAGTATATATTTTAATATTCAAAATCATAATTGTTTAGTCAAAGAATATTAAAGAAAAACTTAGAGAATCTGTAGAATTAGAGCTGTTTCAAAACAAAACCTCATTCCATAATCCTAAACCAAGTCAATTATTTTATTATTACTCAAATGTTATGACATTAGTTTAGTTGCAATGTGTAACTTAAAGGTATAAAAGAACATTTAGGACAGGTATGATTTACATTTCCATGTTAAAAAACATGGCTTAACCACTGTGGCAGTCTATACATTTTTCATGAGAAGTACTTACAAAAATTAAGCAGAAAATAATTAAAACACAAAACTATTATCTGTATAAATTTGATGTCTACAATAAAATAAACAATGTCAATGTTACTATATCTGATTCCTAAGTAAATGCTATTTAACTTCATATATATCTTTATCTATGACCTAAATGAAGAAGACAACTTTTAATATCAATGATAAAATAGTGCTCAAAGTTGCAAAGAGCTCTAATACAGGCAGTAACTACTCAAATTGAACCAGTTTAGAGGCCAGGTTGTCTTATAAATTAGCTAGTGGATTTTCCTAATGTGACCTTTAAATATTTCTTATAAATTTTTCTTGAAATGTAACTAATAAAAACAATATACTAGGGAACCATAGTAAACCTTTGATAACTTAGTTTTTAATTTGTTAAGTTACATTTTAAGAGAGAACAGAGTAAGAGCAAATACAAATGAATGGCATCTCTGAATCATAAGCACAGCTGAGGTCTATCTACGATCAAGCAGAGTAAGCACAGGGGAAAGGGGACATTCTTGTGCCACAGTCTAAAAGGCCTTTTGGGGGGGGACATGAAATATGCTCAGCAAAACCAACTGTTCTCCTTGTTCTGCACACCCTCAACTGTGCCACTGCCCAGGTAGAGGAGAGCGGGAGGAGTAAAGGAGAGGTACTACCAAGCAGGTGCTGCAGAATATACTGAGGTCCAGACTTCCCGTCTCTGCAAGTTCAACTATCGTCTGTGAATTAGAAAAATGTGAATATTTTATTCAACACCGAACTGTGCCATCAATATGAAGCAATAAACACGATGTTCATTTTTAACTAGACAATGTTTTCAGCTCAAAATAAAATCTTTGGTTCATTTACTGCTGCTATTTCGTTGTAATATGAACACAAGAATTTTATTTCTTGGATATATGAAAAGACAACCCAAGTTCAGTTAAAAGAAAATTCCTGAGAACAAGACTAAGTTACCTATCCTAAGAACTAGTCTGTATAGGTTTTGATCATAACACATGAAAAGAGAACTAACGTCCCATAAAGAAGTGAGTCTTCAGAACTAAGAAATTCTAATTCTGAACTTATGACTAGGAAAACCTGGCAAATCAATTAACATAAGTTCTGAAGAATACTACTACATAAAGGCAGCAATCTGCACAGCCTAGAGAAAGGGGCTGCAGACCCTAGGAACTTGCTAGTGTTTTAGTCTATTGTGACAGGAATAATTCATTAGGATTTGTTTTGTTTTTACAGACTGTATAAATCAGCTCTTAAAATAATCTAATCACATCTAGTCCAATTCTATACTTGTGTTACATCTTTGGATTATAAATTTGGTCTTCTAAGTATTTGGGTTATAGGTGAGAGGTGCCCAGCATCACATACACAAACATGCCGGTTACTGAAATGATGCGTCTGCACCTATCAACCAGGTTACAGGCTTTTGAATTTGCATGTCATTCAACAAACATAAACTGAATGTCTTTGATGAGGGCTTACAGAAGTGTTTAAAATACTGCACTCAACCTTGAAAGTAATCAGTCCTTATAAAGGAGAGAAGTAGGAAACTGTAAGATGCCATGGAGGGTGTAAAGACATGCATCACAAGAGTCCCAGAGTGAGGACCAAGCATACACACTCTGGTTGAGATCTTTCAACTTCTAGGAGACAGTTTCTCTCTTCATACTCTAGTATCTCCTACAAATACTGATAATGTGGCAATTAAAATACACAACTGATTAGATATCTGCTACCTTTTTCTTTTGTTCTTCTGTAGCTTTGATAATTCCTGGATCTGACTTCCAAGATTTTCCAAAATTGTAGAAAAGTGCAACACTATTGGCAAGGAATGGAAGATGGATAAATAAAAAGTTGAGATGTGCCTAAAGTTAAGGAATCCAAAGAAGCAATGATATATGAGTTACCATTACAGGTAAATTTATTAACTGTTTAAAATTTTACCACACAGAAAGACCTACCAATCAAAAATACAAGGTGGTTTATTTATTACATCAAAGGAGACACATTTTCTCATTATGCTTATAACTAATGTAAAAAGTAAAAATGTGACCATGTAAGAACTTATTCACTATGTAAGAATTTGTTCACCATGTAAGAACTTGTTTGTTATGCTTCAGAAGATTGGAGACTGACGAGAATTAGGCTTGGGGTGGATTAATGATTGTGCACTGAGCAGAGTCCCCTATACAGAATTTTATTGTTGTTAACAACCATTTGATCAATAAATATGAGATATGCCCTCTCAAAAAAAAAAAAGTAAAAATGTGATTTCTTTATGAACTTTAAAGCATGTAGGGTAGGTTTACCTGACACTTTCTATGAAACTGATGCACAGCCTACTGTGCTTAGAAGGCACTGTATCTGACACCTTTAAGTCAGTGATATACTAAATCAATGAATAAAAACCATTTTTAGGTGATCCCTATTTTAACAAAAATGAAGGAATTTTTTATGTTCAAAATTAACATATTACTTTATCTGCATGCATTAAAAATCTTTATATATCCACCAAACACTTCAGATAAACACCCATGTATTTAAAAGATTGCATTTAAATTCTCTGTTGCCTTATCATATTCAAGTTGACCTTTATTTTGGAAAAGATATTTCTAAACATGCTTAAAAGAGAAATAGTTCCTATGTTCACATTTTCCTACCTAGTGAAAACGTTAAGAAATGTGATAGGCATTTAAAAATACAAGTGAAGAATCAAAGACTAGTTTAAGTAACACTAGGAAAAATACAGCAATGTTGCTAAAGCAATACACTCCTGAGACACAATGTATCTGGATACTGGAATACCCTAAGAGTTTACACAGGTTAAGTATCAACAGCTAAAAATCTCTTGAGAATAAAGTTGGTAAATGTACATATAAAGTACGCTGAAACCTGGCATTTTTCAGGGGCAGTACCTTTACCTACTATTAACAGTTTCAAGGTGCAAAAGTGTAAGTAAACAGGTTAGGTTTATAGCCTAGATTAAGTTTGCAGGGGGCCAACTAGCAGTTCAATATATGACTACAGATTTGAAAGGGATATTCAGCAAAGAAACTTACTTTGTTTGCTGTTCTTTAGAGGTAAAGAGATTAGGTATCTTCAAATGGTAGTTTGAAAACAGCTCAGACCAGTTCGTTTTAAACATTTAACTGACATAGGCACTCTACAAATGGCATGGTTACTCTCACAAAGGTTTAAAATATCCTTTTTTCCTGATGAAATTAGTAAACACTAAGAAATATAAAGACAAAAACAGTAACTCAATAACTGAGAAACTCCTTTTATTCTTGGTATTCCACATTTTTAAATCATAAGTGAGATCAGTGTATTTATTAACATTAATAAAGGAAGTACTACTTATTAGTCACAATGTGCCACTAAGCTAAACAAAAACCCTTTGATAAATCCTGCTATCCCCCCATTACAGAGGACAAAACCGAGGCAGATGTTAGTTAATTATCAAAGGCTACATAGTGAATTACAGGTGGAACAGGTATTAAAATCCAGTCTTTTACTCCCTACGCTTTCTGCCTCTGCAAAGTACTCAGCAGAATATCCTGGGTCATTAAATATTATGGGAATAGGATCTTTGGATTTGAACATTTTTAAAGCTTGAAATATATTTTTACAGTGTCAGATTATTTCCAGAAGCAGATATCAATTTATAACTCCCCAGCCACAAATATTGCTTGATTACTGTATTTGCATCAGCACTGAGTAAAGAAAAAAGTTGCCACTTTTATAAACAAAGAGTAGAGTTCCTGTGTTGTCCTACTTGTACATGCTTGTAAGCTCCAATTAGAGATAAAACAAGAATTTGTCATCAATGTTTTCGTGTAAATGTTTATGGAATCTTCTCCCCCATATCTCTCACTGACTTCGATATTATTTTGATGCCTGCTGTGAACTGCAGCTCCAACTTACCATAATACCCAACAAAATGAACCAAAAACAGTAAGTCTAACAAACCAATTGCTCCGCAGAATACCAGCAGCAACTTCAGAAAGCATACAAGCCACACTATACCGTAACATTCAAACTGGAGGTCAAGGAAAGACGATTCTGGTGAGGCAGGCTGCCTGGGGTAGTTCTGAATCCCACCTCCACCTGTGTAAGTAGTATGGGTAACTAGAAGGGAAGAAAAGTCAGAGCTCTCTCTCATAAGTCACACCCCGCCCTCTGCTATGGATTGAATCACGTCCTCCACCTCAAAAATTCTTACGTTGAAGCCCTAACCTCCAACGTGACTATCTGGAGACAGGGTCTTTAGCAGATGGTTAAGATTAAATGAAGTCACATGAGTGGGACCCTAATCTGATAGGACTATGGCTGGGAAAGAAGAGCTCTCTCTTAGCCTCTCTCCCCTACAAGCAAACACACTGTAAGCCAGGAAGAAAGCCCTTGTTTGGATACAACTATGCTGGCTATGGTTCTGCAGTCCTAATGCAGAACTGCTAAAAAATTAATCTGTTATTTAAGCCACTTGGTCTACACTCTTTCATAATGACAAAGGTCTGAATATCAAAAATGAGTCACTTTTCTCTGAATTACTCTATAATTCAAGTAGAATTTTAATCAAAATTGCATCAGGCTTTTCATGGAACTTAAAGAGCTGACTCAAAAATATTTAAATAAAAGTGCAAAAGGCCGAAAGAGCTGAGATATTCCTGAGAAAAAAGTTGGGAAACCTGGCCTACCAGATACCATGATTTAAGACTAAAGCTACTAAGATACACAGTATTGGCACAGGCAAGCAGATGAATAAACTGAACAGATTACAAGAAAATTGATAAATATCAAGGGTGATACTGCAACTGGGTGAAGGAGGATGTTGGGGCGATGAGTTCTCTAATAAGGAGAAAGAAGACTGCGTCATGCATTATATACAGTAACCAAACACACATAAATTAAGAACTTAAATTAGACATCTTCTAATGACATCAGGAAAACCTGCACACATGCATAAAAAGGTGCTCAACAGTGTTGTAACAATGCTGCTGGAACTCACAGAAGGTAGTGACTGGATGCCTGAATATAGGAATTAACAAGCTTAGAGAATGTTAAAAAGAAATGAGAGACACATAGAAAACAAAGAAACCCTAAAAGTAAACTATAGGAAAAAACGCTAAAGAGGAAAATGCATAGGAGAGCATAGTGAAAATGGTAATTCTGCACAGTCTTCATTTTTATTATAGTCATCCCAGGTTCAAGGAATTCTTCACATTCATATTTAGCTTAAGAAGTTTAATTTAACTTAAAATCTGGTTGATAAATAATTTATTTTTAGACATAAAATTTCTAATAACCTATCATCAGTATTTCAATGGTGGTGCCAACACTATGAACAGTTGACTGTACTGGCTATGCCAGGGAGTTTTAGACTTGTTTGATGATTATAAAAGAAGCATAGTGAATGAACAAAATTTTCAAATAAATAAAAGGACAAGAAACAAAATAAAAATCACTCATGATCTAACACCAGAGATAACTGCTGCTAAAATTACATGTCACTCCTAGGAACTCCTGTCCTCTGCACACTTTAAAATTAGAATTACTCTGTAAATGCAATTTAGTATTTCTCCACTTACTATATCTTAAGTATTAGTCCATATCACTTAAGTGTTAGGAAAGCATTTTAATGAATATTTTATCCAATACCGTATGTGGTGTAACTGATAAAACTCTCAGGTTGGATATTTAGGTTGTTTCCATTTCTTCCCTATTATAAATCGTACTATGATAAACATCCTTGTAAGTAAATCTTTGATATTATCTCTGATTTCTTACCTATAAATGACTAAGAGATTAAAGCGTATTTTTAAAGCTCTTTCCATAGATTGCCAAATTGCTTTCCAGAAAGGTTTACATACTTAAGACTATGTTGAAAGTACAATGTAGGGCATTTGAAGATATACTACACCAGGCCAAACATCACAGAATCTGTATGACTTTCAGCAAGATGTACAACTTCTCTGAACCTCAATTTTTCCATTAGTTAGAAAACAGCATTATGATTTGTGTAGTTAGTTTATTTTTTTAATCCCAAAGAATTGTCCTGAGAACTGACTAAAATGATGTATCTGAAAGAACTAAAACAACAAAGCACTGAATAAGGTGAATAAGGGATGATAATTATTTAATGAATTGTAGAAAAGAAATAAGAACTTACTTGCTAAAACAAATAGTTTGTATCAATATGAAATTCATCACCACAAAAACATTTAAGGTGGGTACCATGAGAAACTAGAGTTTCTACTCTAGTACGTTGACCCTCACACCTACTGGTTCAAATTTATTTGTACCCAAGTCAATACTCACAATGCTTTTGCCGTCATTCATGGACATGTGCAAAGCAGCAAAACTATGAGTCATGCTATGGACATATTTCCAGCCAAGCTGAAAAACGCAGTAAGTAATACTCTGCCTTCTTGCTATGCTTGTAAACAAGCGTCCCTTTTGTTTATTTTGTGCCACATGTTTTGCTTTTTTTTGCCTTTTGTTGGTGATTTTGCTGTTTAGAATGGTCCCAAGTGTAGTGCTGAAGTACTTAATAATCTAAGGTTCCCATGTGCAAGAAGGCTGTGAAGTGTGCCTTGTGGATGCTTTATTCAGGCATAGGTTACTGGCTATGAGTTCAATGTTAATGAATCAACAACTATATTAAATTTTGTTTTTCAGCAGAAACACATGTAAAAGCAAGGTTATGTAACTGGTTGGACAAAATATGAGCAGAGGCTTGCAAGAATCTAACTTTCTTTTTTCCCTAGGAGCCATGGAACAGTATTTGCTAATCCAGTATATGCAGTAACATTACAGAATGTAACTACCACAAATAATGAAAACTGACTGTAATTATATTTTTTAAAACTCATCAGTTTTAATTACACATGTAGTCATGAGTTGCATGAGAAAAATGGCAGAACCAACCACCGACAGGCTGAGGCCAGAAGACAGGTGTAGAACGTGACCCTGATGCTTTTTCAACTCTATATTTTAATTATCACCTTATAACTTTAACTTCACAGCTCTTTCCTGTCTAATATCATTTGTGCTTCCATCAGAAATATTCTAGGCTCTCTTTTGTTCTCTTCCTATAAGTTTCTTGAGCTCCTATCTCTGTCCTCAGAAGTGTAATACTGAAAAAAAAAATGTATCTCTTAAAAATCATACAGGGGCTACAGATATGGTTCATTTGTACCACAGAGAAGTGAAGTTTCCTTTGGATAATCAGAATTAAAAGTTATTTGTGGTTTCATTCCATATTCCATGAACATCATAGACACATAAACATTCAAGTGAAAGAAACTGTAAAGTCCCTTTGTATACAAACTCAGATTTAAAAAGTCATGAATAATACATTTATTCAACACTTTTTACATGTCAAGTATAAGCTAATATTTGCATCTTCTCAAGAATTCTGAGACAGTCGTATCTTATGATCATCCCCTCTTTACAGATAACTATAAAACTTAAGTGTTCTCATACTACAATTTTTATTTGAAAAGCTAAATTAACACATGCAATTTATTCAATGCATTTAAAAATTAATTATATGCTAATTATTTTATAGGCAGCATTTTGAAATAGGGCAAATTAAATAGACTTAATTGTTCTAGCCTTCCCTTCAAAATCTACTTCTTACATTCTCAATTCCCTAGCTTCAGAAACTTGCATAGTTTTATACTATCTCCAAATAAAGCAAAAAAGGGGAAAAAATTCAAATTAGACTACATAAAACTCTCTAACATAAAGTTTTCATTTTTTGGTAATTTATTAATTTTCCTGCTTTTCTCCACTTGCGTAACAGATTAAGAATACAAAAATAGACTAAAATTATTTTGAGATGTGAGTTTGACTTCTTCTCTTGAACATAAAATTTATTGTCCAATTTAAGAAACAAAGTTAGAAAGTATGTGTGGAATACTAAAGTCATTTCAGAGGTCAGTGCTTTTTATATACATAAAATAGATGAGGTAATGAAAATAAACAGATTAGCTTTACTCATACTAAATGTTCCAATAAGACAATTCTAATGCTTAACAAATACTTGAAAAACTATTTTTTATTCAATGTGTAATACACAGTAGAATGAGCTAATGAAAGCTGCTACATGGAAAAATCTCTATAGACACTTATACTAAGGAAATATGTAGGTACTATACCTTCTGAAAATAATCATATATTATAGAAATAGAAGAATTATAAGTGCAGTTACAATTTTGTGCCTCAGTCTCAAAAACAAGCATATTCTGTTTTTTAGTATAGTTTTTGTTTAAAATACAAGACAACAAAAGAATACTGTAACATGTAAGACTGTAAAGTGAAACCAGGTATTGAAATCATTCAGAACATTTAGAAGTCACTGAAAACCATATACCATTTAAAACATTTTAAATGCTTTTTATGGTAATGTTTTGAAAAATGACTTATTGAAAGACATTTATGAAACATGTGTCTCTATTATAAAACAGACTGTCTTAATGATTGTACTTACTCCATGTAAAAATATCAAAAGTTGACATTGTCCTTATCTCTTTGCTACACACATATGCACACACATATTAACAATTCCATGTTATATTACTTTTTAAAAGTACAGTTGACCATTGAACCATGAGAGGTTAGGGGCACCAACCCTTTATGCAGTGGAAAATCTGTGTATAACTACTTACTCCCCCAAAACTTAACTACTAATAGCCTACTGTTGACCAGGAACCTTAACAATAACATAAACAGTCTATTAACACATATTTGTATATGTATTATATACTGTATTCTTGCAATAAAGTAAGGATAGAGAAAAGGAAATATTTTTTTTCAAATTGTTGCGAATCTACAAAAAATTTTCCAATATGTTTATTGGAAAAAAATCTATATATTAAGTGAACCTGCACTAACACTGAATATCATAATTTAATAAAAAGGTTTAGAATATGTGTTATTACAGAATCAGACAAGAATGCATTTCTATCACAGCTTTACCAGAGGCTAGCTCTGTGGCTTTGGGGAGAGATAACAGCTTAACCTATTTAAGCCTAAATTTTCTCATCTATAAAATGGAGATAATGATACTAATTATAAAATGTTTACTAAATGAGTACAAAGTATTGAATAAAATGATTTTTAAACATTCAATAAGTGGTAATCAATAAATAACTATTACTATTAATGTTATTAAAAGCAGCTTCCAAAAGCAATCTATTAAATATGAAGCATTTAGAAACAACAGGTATTAATTCACACTATTCTTCTAGGAATACAGTTTTAGTGTAGCAAATTGTGAGTAGTTCACTTCTGATGTTAAATTATTATTAAACATTTGTTTAAACAAACAAAAGTTGCTTTAGATACGACCTTTATAAACAAAGGATATCATTCCAAAACCAGAAGAACCACGTCACATACATCCAGAATTTGGTTGCCAAATATATTCCAAGGGGCAATGCACTATGCATTGAATGATCAAAAAAGGATCTATAAAACATAAGTTTTATAAAATTTGAGCTCTATATTTCATGTAAAAAATGATTATTTAAATGAAAATGACACATATTCTGTATCATAAACTCTGTAACCAGAATCCAGAAGCAGATGATGCTCAATCACCCAGCCTGTTTTCACAGTGATCAGTAATAAAATGAGGGCACAGCTAAATGATTCAGCAAGATTCTGAAACTCCTTTTAGTTTACCAAGAATTAGTTATATTCTGTGTATTTTTCAACTTGAGAATTTCAGTATACTCCTAATTCTCTTACGTCAACAATTCACTTTAGTACATACAGAAACTACCATTCAGTATATTACTCACCAAAGATGTGTTTTAACTTTGACAGATAAATACAAAGCAATCCTTAAGTTTCTCTGTGTTTCATCAGTACTTCTCCTAACCTACACTCTCCTGTTAAGCTTTCCACATTATCTTTTCAAACAGAATAAGCTGGCTCATTTAGGGAGAACTGAAGGTCATTATTTACAGTATTTAGAATTAAGGAAAAAATTAATGAATTTTATTAAACATAAGCAGGATCAACCATCCATGAACACTAAGCAGAAGTCTCAGCGAATTCCTATTTATAGTATTTGTAATAGCCCTTGGAGGTCCTAGAAACACTAAAACGAAATTAATTATCTAGAATTAAGTCCCTTCCTGAGAATCAACACATTCATGCATTACTAGTCATTCTCATCTCTGTGTGAATTATTTTCAGAACTCTTTTGAAATTCAGGTGAAAACAAGGCACTACAGGAAGAGATCTTAGGTAGGAAGTTCTAGATCATAGTTACTTAGGTTCATTGGATGGGCAACTGTGAGGCAATGGCATCTAAGGATAGAAGAAAAAGGAATGATCACAATGCTTAAAGAAAAAAAGGGAGGAGAAAATTAAAAAAATAAACAGCAGACTTTATATGCTCAAACTTGACTTTGCTACTAAAATTAACCTCTTCTTTGCGTATTTCCTAAGACCAAAGAAAATCTAATTCCTAGAGAAAGGTAAGCTCAAGCATTATAACAACTAGAAATAAGCAATATGTATATTACACTTAGAGTTCAACCAACTCAAGTCCACTTCTATTGAAATGTTTTAAATTGCATTTTAGCTTTAAAAATTGTATGTTAGATCTTACTACACTGAAGGACAGTGACTTCAATGGGGTATGGGGGGGACTTGATAATATGGGTGAATGTAGTAACCACAATGTTGCTCATGTGAAACCTTCATAAGAGTGTGTATCAGTGATGCCTTAAAGTAAGTAATTAATTAATTAATCAATTGTATGTTAGACTGTCACTGAAAGCACCTTTAGAATCAACATTAAAAATTTTTAAATTTCAGATATAAATCAGCCAAAATCCTTTAACAAAGATCGAACATTACATAAATGCAGATACAAAGCATTAACTTTATATAACAAGGTCCAAATTACATTCCTTCAAAAAATATAGTTAAAAACAACACACTTACTTTGAAAGAAACTGTACTGTAGCCCAAACGCCACCATACATTAGCCCTTTAATGAGCCAAGAATCAATATTTAGGTCTGCTATAAACCCAACCAGCCAAATAACTAGGAAAGGAGTTCCTAGCATTACTTTCTGCCGAAATTCCTGTACCAAAAAAAAAAAAAAAGTTAGAAGTTGTGTATGTTTCAAGTAACTTCAGTGTGAACCACTGTTATCTCTGTGAAAATATGCAACAGAGGGAGAAATTCATCCCTTCACATATGCCTACTATGTGCAGCTACTATTCAAGGTTCTAGTCTCTGTCTTCTGGAAACTGACATTAAATAAACAACGTAAAAGTACTTGGTTAAAACGGTGGAAGCTGTAATAGAAGTTATCGAAGTAGGTATAGACAGTCAGATAAGGAGATAAGCAGTAACATGCTATCACATGGATGGGCTAGAAAACAGTTCATGACCAACAACAGCCCATTTTAACAGGGGCACTGATAACTGGAGAGACCAGGACAAGAATGACTGATGGTCTAAGAACTATGAATAAGGAAATCTAAGGGTGCTTATAGGCTGGAGAAGGTATTGTGAATGATACATATAAATACTATATTAAAACCTTAAAATTAGAGAATAAAATCAAGCAATTTACAGGGTCTCAGAGTCCATAAAATGGAGATTATGTGCCTCAACACATATCAACGCAGAGTGTTTCACACTCCAGAGGTAGTTCCAATTCAGTTTTGTAGTGATCTGATTGTTAGAAAGTTCATACTGCAAAATAGAAAATCCATCTACTTGTAACATCTACCAAAACCGTACCTTCAGAGCTCCTGTCTCTTCCCCATAACAGCCTTCACAAACTTACAGGTAGACAGATAACAAAACTATTAAGAGATTCCAGCTGCGATGTAACAAAGCTCAAGGTGTAAAGATTACTGTCTTGATTATTTACCTTTCTGAGGGCTAAGATTGTATTACAATTTATTAGCATGCCTTTTACATTGTTGGCTTCTAGCGAAGTACTTTTCATATAAATGGCTACGTTTTACCCAAGTTAGCCACTGTAATTCACTTTCTGACCTAAATGTGTAATTTCAACTTAGACTAATAATTAAACTTACAACTTCAGAGTTTAATTTCACGCTGCAGTAAAATAGTCTTCCCAATTTGTTTTTTCAGCATGTGTGAATTTTATATCAAGACATTAGAAAATATTTATAACTAGGAGAAGAAAGTGTATGGGTAATGGTGGGTATTGATGGGAGGAGAGAAATAGACATGTGTCCTTTGAAGAAGTATTTTCTAAAATTATCTAATTTGGCTTCATTTTAGCCAAGAAGCTTGTTTTCCCTCAAATGGCCATAATTTTTCAAGATTAAAAAGATACAACTTACATATAGTAAAATTCACCTTTTGTGTACAGTTCTCAAGTTTTGAATAACATATACATTGTGTAACCAGCACAACACTCAAGATACAGAAGTTTCTAACAGATAACAAAACTATTAAGAGATTCCAGCTGCGATGTAACAAAGCTCAAGGTGTAAAGATTACTGTCTTGATTATTTACCTTTCTGAGGGCTAAGATTGTATTACAATTTATTAGCATGCCTTTTACATTGTTGGCTTCTAGCGAAGTACTTTTCATATAAATGGCTACGTTTTACCCAAGTTAGCCACTGTAATTCACTTTCTGACCTAAATGTGTAATTTCAACTTAGACTAATAATTAAACTTACAACTTCAGAGTTTAATTTCACGCTGCAGTAAAATAGTCTTCCCAATTTGTTTTTTCAGCATGTGTGAATTTTATATCAAGACATTAGAAAATATTTATAACTAGGAGAAGAAAGTGTATGGGTAATGGTGGGTATTGATGGGAGGAGAGAAATAGACATGTGTCCTTTGAAGAAGTATTTTCTAAAATTATCTAATTTGGCTTCATTTTAGCCAAGAAGCTTGTTTTCCCTCAAATGGCCATAATTTTTCAAGATTAAAAAGATACAACTTACATATAGTAAAATTCACCTTTTGTGTACAGTTCTCAAGTTTTGAATAACATATACATTGTGTAACCAGCACAACACTCAAGATACAGAAGTTTCTAACAGGCTCCCCAAATGCCCTATATCCCCCAGTCCCAGGCTCTGGCAAACACTGGTATGATTTCTGCCCCCACACTTCTTCCTTCACAGGAATGTCATATGAAAGTGAATCGTACTGATGACAAGTCTTTTAAGTCTGGCTTCTTCCACCACAGAATGTGTATCACTGTTTGCTCCACTTCAATGCTGAGTAGCATCCAACATAGAGCAGTAGTAGTTCATCCACTCCCCAGCTAAGGGACTAGGGCCATTTCCAGCTTTTAATGATTGTGAATAAAGCCATTACAAACATTTGCACATAGTTTTTGGTGTGAACATAAGTTCATTTCACTTGGATAAATAAACTATGTGAGATTTCTGGATTTTTCTTCAACTGTCATCTAACATATATGGTAGTATTATAAAGATGGAAGGGTAATGCATTGCTTTTGCAATCCATCTATTTTCATTTCCCAACTATTTTCTCTATATTTTATTATGGAAAATATCAAATATGTAGTAAAATGAGAGAATATTATATGACTAACTGTATATGCACCACTAGATTCTACAATTCAGTAAGTTATTTTTGAATACACTTATTTTGAAATAATTGTAGATTCACATGCACTTGTAATAAATAATACTAACAGCCCAATTACCCTTTACCCAGGTTCCCCTCAAATGGCTAACATCCTGCAAAAGAGTAGTACAGTATTACAACCAGGATACTGACATGAATACAGGTAAGATACGAAGTGTTTCTGTCAGTACAAGAATTCCTCAAGTTGTCCTTCTACAGCAATTTCTCTCCTACCTTACCTTCGTCTTTACAGTAAACTTTAGCAACCACTCATTTGTTTAACATTTTTATAATTTCATCATTTCCAGAAATTTATATAAATGCAAGTATACAGTATGTGACCTTATAGGACTGCCTTTTTCACTCAACATAATTCTCTGGAGGCTCCTCTGGGTTATTGCATGTACCATTAGTTCATTTCTTTTTATAACTGAGGCATATTCCATGGTATGAATGTATCAGTTTGTTTAACCATTCATCCACTGAAGGACTTTGGGGTTGTTTCCAGTTTGGAGCTAGTATGAATAAAGCTGCTATAAACATTCACATACAGGTTCTTGTATGAACATAGGTTTTCTTTTCTTTTCAATAAATGCTCAAGGGTGCTGTTTCTGGTTTGCATGGTAATTGCAAATTGAGTTCTTTAAAAGAAACTGCCAAACTGTTCTCCAGCATGTTGCATTGCTTTACATTCTCACCAGCAGTATAAGTTATCCCTTCTCTCTACAGCATTTAGTGGTGTTGCAACTTTTTGTTATTTTGATACGTGTATGGAATAAGGTACTATGGTTTTAATTTGCATTTCCCTAGTAAGCAATGATGTTGAACATCTCTTCATGTGCTTGTCATTTTTATATCTTCTTTGGTGAAATAGCTCCTTTTACATCTTCTTTGGCCTATTTTCTAATTGCATTGTTTGACTTTTCACTGTTGGTTTTCAAAGTTCATTGTATTTTCTGGAAACTAGTCCTTTGTTGGACATGTGGCTTGCAAATACTTTCCCTTTTCATCCTAATAAGGGCCTTCTGAAAATCAGAAGTTTCTAACGTCAAAATCAGAATTTTGACGAAGTCCAATGATCAATTTTACCTTGATGGATCATGCTTTTTGTTTGTGTCATCTCTTTGACCAGCCCTAGATTCTAGGATTTTCTCTATTTTTTTCCTGAGTTTTATCTTTTACATTTTCTCTATTTTTTTCCTAAAAATTTTATCTTTTACATTTAAGCCAGTGAACCATTTTGAGTTAATTTTTTATATGGTGTGAGGTTTGAGTAGAGGTTCATTATTTTTGCCTATACATGCCCAAGTGCTCCAGCATCATTTGAAAAGGCTATCTTCCGTCCATTAAATTGCTTTTGCACTTCTGTCAAAAGTCAGTGGGCATACCTCTGTGGTTCTACTTCTGAACCCTTATTCTGTTCCTTTGATCTCTAAGTTTATTCCTCCAGCAGTACCACACAGCCTTATTTATTGTAGCTATTTAGCAAGTCTTGAAACTGCACAAAGTGATTCTCCTTTTTCAGAACTGTTTTAGCTATTCTAGATCTATTGCCTTCCCACATAGACTTTATAATATATTTAGTTTATACAGACAAAAAGCCTTGCTGGAATTTTTAAGTGAATTAAATCTGTATACCAATTTGGGGGCAACTGATATATATATATGTTGAGTCTTCCAATTCATGAATACATCTTTCCATTTATTTAGGTCTTTGATCTCTTTCATTTTTAAAAATTTTACAATTTTCAGTATAGAAGTACTTTACATGTTTGGCTAGGTTTACACCTATGTATTTAAAAAAATTTTTTTTGTGTGTGTGATTCTAAGTAGTATTATATTTTTAATTTTGGTATTCAAGTACATGTTTACTTCAAGTACACAGAAATAAATAGATTTTTATATATTTATCTTATATCCTGTGATCTCAATGAACTCATTCATTAGTTCTAGGAGTTTATTTTGCATATAGTTTGAGATTTTCTATAGAAAATCATGTCAAGCACAAACAAGGCAATTATATTTTTTATTTTCTGATCTATGTATCTTTCAATTTCTTTTCCTAGTTTTATTTCTCTAACTAGAACTTCAAGCACTATCTTGAATGGCAGCACTAAGAGGAATATCCTTGTCTAGCTCTTGATCTTAGGGATAAAGCATTCAGTCCTTACCATTAGGTATGATGTTAGTTGAAGGTCTTATACACAGTACTCTTTAAAGTTCAGGAAATTCTCCTCTACTATTTTTCTGAGAGTTTTATCATGAGTGAACACTGATTTTTATTAAATGCTTTTTCTGCACTGATTGACATAAATATGACATTTTTTTCTTCTTTAATTTGTTAATACAGTAGATTATACTGAATAATCATTTTGGATATTAAATGAGCCTTGCATCCCTGAAATAAACCCAATTTGGTCATGGTACAAAATTCCCTTTACATATTGCTAATTTTTGTTAATATTTTGTTAAGGAATTTGAATCTATATTCATGAGGGATACTGGTCTACAGTTTTCTTTTTTGTACTATCTTTGTCTGCTTTTGGTATCAGGGTAACATATATTGTTTCTGTTCTGCTACTCACCTGTATAAACAACTTGCCAACATTCTTACATGTAAAGTGAGTTTCTTATAGACAGTGTATAATTGGGTCATACTTTATAATCCATACTGCCAATATCTTTTAATTGGTATATTTAGACCATTTACATTTAATGTAATTATTGATATCTTGGGGTTTAAGTCTGTAATATTATTTTTTGTTTGTTCTCTAAGTTTTTTTCTTTTTTCTGCTTTCCTGTGGGTTACTGGAAAGCTTTTTAGAATTTTATTTTACCAACAGTATTTTTTGGCCTCTTTGTAGTATTTCAGTGGTTACTTTAATATCACAGTGTACTGGTGCTGTCATTTTACCAGTTCAAATGAAATATGGAAACCTTACCTTCCTTTTGGGGGTAAGCCCTCTGACCTCCCCTGTTTATATTATAAATGGACTCATATATGTTTCCTATATACATACACATCAGATGGTAATTTTTGCTTCAACTCTTAAGCTGCAAGTTATAAGATTAGAAGAAAGGCTACTGCATTTACCCATAATTTTGCTTACCATGATCTTATGTCCCAAGATTCTTTATTGCCTCCTTTCTGTTTAGAGAACAGAGATACAGCAGGGATGGGATGGGACCCTGACAAGATTTTTGGGTAGGTCTGCTGACACAAATTCTCTCCTTTTCCTTTATCTGAGAATTTGTTGATTTCACCTTCATTCCTCAGATATTTTCATTGGATATTGGATTCACAGTTGACAATTCCTTCCATTCAGCACTTGGAAAATGTGCCATGTTCCTTTTGGTCTCAATGGTTTCTGAAGAGAAATCCACCATCTTGAATTGTTTTATCCCTACTGATAAGGGGATTTCAAAATTTTTATTTTTTGGTCTTTAGATTTTAGAGTTCGAGTATGATGTGTTCAGTGAGGATTTCTCTGAGTTCACTCCACTTCTTAATATGCACATCTCTTTTGCCAAATCAGGGGGTTTTATGGCCACTGCATTTTTGAGTACTTTTCCTGCCCCACCCTTTTTCTCTTCTTCTGGGATTTCAATCACATCAATATGGGATACTCTGTTATAATCACGGGTCCCTGAGGCCCTGTTTATTTTCTTTTTTCCAATTTATTTCCTTCTGTTGTTTGAAATGAGTAGTTTTTATTGTTTTCTCTTCAAAGTCATTGATTCTTTTCTCTGTCCCCTTCATGTTAATAATTACTCACTGATGCCTTCTTTATGATGGTCACTTTAAAATCTTGTCAGATGATCCTAATATCTCTGCCATCATTTTGGCATCTATTGATTCTCTTTTCATTTAATTTCAGATCTTCTTGGTTCTTGGTACAATGAATGGTTTTCATTTGAAACCTGGACTTTTGGGTATTATGAACTACTGGATGTTATTTAAACCTTTTCTTTAGATGGAGTCCTCTGACACAGCCTGGCAGGAAGAGGGAAGTAAGGTACCTTCTCATTAATGCCAGGTGGAGTGTAAGTCTAGGATCCCAACTTGACCCAGAGTGACACCTGAGGAGGTGGCTCCTCATTGCTGCTGGTAAAGGTGGGACTTCCAGCTCTCCACTATACCTCTACCAACACCTCCCTTGCTGGAAGGGTTAGGAGTACCACATTACTATTTCCTACGTGCTCCCTGCTGATACAGCAGGGATGGGATGGGACCTTGTTAACAGCCAGTGCAGATGAAAGTCCCAACTCTCTACCTGTCTTCCTCTAACCCCAGCTCAGGGGAGAAGTGGGGGCACCTCATTCTAGCCTGATAAGAGTGGAAGTACAGGCCCTTGCTGGTATGGTTCAGAGTGGGGCCAGTTTGTTCTGTAGTATCTGGCTGTGGTAGGAAGTTTTTACTAAAGATCTCTGTCTTGCTCAGTTGTTCCGTTTGAGTTTCTCGAGTGAGAGCAGGCTTGCTGGGCCTGTTCTGTCTGAGCGCGTTCCTGATTCTGGGTTGCTGGTTTTGTCAACTCTTCTTCTGGGGTAAATGAGGCAAAAAGAGAAAACAAAGACTCACCACCATGCTATCCCTTGGGCCCTGAGCTCCCTACCCACACCACCTTCTCTCCATCTTCCAGAGTCTTCTTACATTTGTTTTATACATAAAGTCCAGGTTCTTTAGTTGTACTTAGTAGAGAGGAACAGGGAAAAGTACATCTAGTCCACATTCACAGATTTATTTTCACAGAGTCAATAAAGAACATTGAAGATGAAGATATATGACATTTCCACTGCTAACAAAAGGGATAATGGGTTTTTAAATGCTGAGAAATACTAATTTAGAGATTTCTCTGACTTATTATTATGCAAGCAACACTTATTAACCATAAGTCTGTCTAAAATCTAACCTTAAAAATCCAAGAGCAGTTAAAATACTTTTCTAAAATTAAGATTCCCTCCTTATCTGTCTACTAATACTTTAAAAAACAATTTCCTTTTGGATGACTTATTTGTAGTAAAATACTATTGAGTGTCACTTGTTTTCTTGTTTAGTTTTAAATACAGAACATACTTCACAGATTAGCAAATCGGGTCATGTTCATGATTTAAATTTTCCTAATGTGAGATAAAAAGAGAATAGTCTACACAATTATAAATACTTTACTTCACAAAGCCCCCAACCATTACATACTCTTATCTAGTAATCTTTTAAATATATACATATTTATTAAAAGGTACTGGTGCAAAAAGGAAAAAAAAAGCAAAACAAAAACACAGAAATACTTCTGAACTGATCACAACAATATAAAAATGTTGGTAAAATTGTGGCAAACTTCTTTAATGAAGTTCTTTCTTAAAGAAAATCATATCCAAACACATAAACCTGGTGATAAACATCTAGGATATACAAAGTCATTTTCATCTGAAAATATTTTAAAAATTAAAAAACTTTAGAATAATTACGCTAAGCAAAATGGACACATAAAGATTATGGGACTTTATAAGGTAGTATACTTCTTTGCTAGCCTATTTACTATGACACATTAGCTATTTTTCACTCTGTTGAGCAAAACTGCCCTAAGTCCTAGAAGACAAAGCAACATCAGAGTAAATAATAAACTATTTTCTGTATCATATCTAATAGTGAAATGAAAGAGCTGACATTCAGAAAATGCTCACTATTCTCAACTATGAGGTTGAAAATAGGCAAGACTATGAACTATGAATCTAATTCTTCTGATGTCTAAGTAATGGGCCAATGACTTTCCAGCTCATTAATGAAGCCTGAACTCCTACAAATAAATGAGGCATGCATTTAAGTGTGTTTCCCTTTACTCAAAACTTGTCATTTTGTTCCAATAACAGATCAATATTAACTTTAAACAAATAGTATTACCACTAGAACAGCCTAACAAGATGGTACTCAAGGTTTACTGCCATTCAAGCTGTGACTACTGATAAGCTAGCAGATACACTGAATGTAAGTTTATCTCTCATATCACAAAAGAATGGAAAGCTTAAATTTTAGAGCTAGAGTTTTGAGTACTTCAAAAACACATAAACTATTAGGACTATGACTTTCAACAATTTATTATCATACTAACAAATGCACTTAAAGAGGAAAACTTTTGTTCTCTATTACTTATCAAACATTAGCTGAATCAATAAACTAAAATTTATGTTAGTAGCCTATGGAGATTTAAACACTTTTACATATACTCATCCTTCTTAATTATTAGATAACACAGACCAACAACCAAGTTGGCAGAGACCTGAGAAACCTTGCTATCTACCTTCATTTTATCCTGGGTGAAATCATATTTAAACAATTACATTGGCCAATACCAAAATTAAAGGCTATAAATGCTTATGCTAAGGAAGTATGCCTATGAATCTTACTTTAAAAGACTACATATTGAAAATCTTCAGTCATGTATTTACCTTATCAGCTTTCAGCTTCCTAAGGAAGGATGGACTGTCATATCCTTTCGCTTGCCTTGCCTCTTGCAAATGGTTGATCATCCACACATTTTTTCTCTGCTTTGCCAAATCAAGTGCTGATTCACCCTGATAATGTAAATAGAGGAAATTCACATTAAAAATTAAAGAAAAAGCAGACTATTTTAGTTACTAACTTTTAAAGAAAGCACTTCCATAAAATGAACTGACTGAACTATTAGTTCATAAACATTGTTTTTACATTGGGCTAGGTCAGTTGCTGAAAGTATCTAAATCATTGTATATTACTCAATATATTTTCCCATTCACGGTACAATTAGAAAATATATTTACTCATTCTATAGAGTCTATTTTTGCTTTGTATTTTGACTTATATTAGATAGTAAATTAAAAAGTAGGTATTTTAGCACCTGCTGGATCAGAGGCTGCCACTAAGCTTATCAGTTATTTCATATTATTTAAGGGTTTCATTAGTAATAGTTATTGCTGCAACACATCCTGATATAATACGAAGTCACCAGAAATTTTAGTTTTATTTCAGTGATGACAAAAGCCTGATGAGGAGAACACAGGGGAAAAAGACAAACCAACTCCTACTTACACTGCTGTTTTACTGGCGGTGTTCTTAATCAGCTTAGACTTATACTCCCACCCAGAAATTTACAAAGAGAACAAGGGCAGTAACAAAAAAGTGAAACTCAAGTTGACTTGTAGCTCCCTTTGATCTCAAGAAAAAAAAAAAAAAAAGCCAAAGAATGTAAGAGAACAGAACTACGAAGTTTTAAAGAAACAAGTCATAAGCATCCCCAATTCTAGAACTATTTTTCTCTTTGTCTTTATTAATTTAAAACCTTATTTGTCTTTCTGCAAGTCAGACACCTACATTTCTATTCTATTTAATATTCTCCACTATTTATCTACTGCTTTAAATAGAAAAGTGAAGTCAAAATTTTTGTTTACCAAAATTTCAAAAATGTATAGATGAATATACAAAACCACTTAAAAAAGAAAACATACTGAGATTTTACTTGAAAAACTGGAGAAAAATCAAGTTAAAAAAAAGCCTCGGGGTGCTTTACTTAGGAGGGAGGATTATTTATCAAGTATGGAGTACAGTTTATTAAAACAAACAAACACACTGAAAAATAAAAAGCAAAGAGCAAAATAAACACACCACTACAACCAGCAGCTACAACTATAACACAACAGTAACAATAAAAAACCCAAGCAATCCTTTCATGAAAAGATCAATGGTATTGAATAAGGAATAGACTAATCTAGGTGAGCCTTCTAAAAATAGGGATATTTACTTCAAAATATCTCCTTACCTATTCAATAATTCTATCACCTAGGTTGTCAAAACCAGCTAATTAATCCAAACTATAAAGATTACCTGAATAAAAGCAATCCCTTGGGTAACAACTCCCAGAGAATATCCTGCAGTTGCCTCGGTCCCGCTGAGCATCCCTTCCACTAGAGGGCCATGTGACACCTAAGGATTGCCTAGACAAAAAGATGGAGGGAGCTTTAAGAAATCTTTCAACTCCTCTAGTCATCTGACTACTTTTGTTCAGTTCTTTTATTCAGCTGGTAAGACAAGCAAGCAATTGAAGAATTACACTAAAACAAGGGTTTCAAATCAAATCTATATTTGATCACTCCATGTGTCAGCCAAAATAGTAAATGATAATAACAGCAATAAACAGGAATCATGGAGTATTCACAGACTACATAACTGGTAATAAAACAAATTCTTCAAGGGCTTTGAGGAGATAAACATTATTGAAGGTACAGGTTGGAAGATTACTTTTTGCCTAAGTGAGGTTGAATTTTATTATTAAAACTAAGGAAAATTTTTCAATACAGACCATCTAGGTCAGGTACTTAAGAAGTAATGAAAACTATTTTCTGACAAGTTTCATATATCATTTCAAGAAACTTGTATATGAGTCCTTCAAGTATAGTGATTAACAAAGCTCAGTAATTTTACATTTTGCACAAGCTAAAATTTATGTCCTTTGATAACTTTACAAAGAAAAAATTATAGATGCTTGGGCAGCATTCAGAGAATAATTTCCCCCAAACTCAATTCACCTAAACGTATCTGTACAACCAAAAACATGTACAAAGGAGTAAAATACTATTATTTTTCAATTCACAAGTGAGATGCTATCATAAAAAGGGGTTACTGCATACGTAATTTCAAAAAAATACTTAGTATACAAATCACTTCCGTCCCCCTAGTGCTATTACTTAACAAGATTTAAATTTATTCTATGTACCTATTATTGAGGGCCATGCTTCTTACATTCTTTTGAGTCATATATAATGGAAGCCAATGACCCTCTTCCCAGAAAAGTGCCAGTACATGTTAAATATTTTATAACAATTTCAACAAAGGTTCATGAACCCACCCTCTAACCAAAATCCACTGCTGGGTGCCAGAGTAAGAACCTCTAATCTAGGGTATATGACTGTTCTGATCTTTCTAAGGATCAATTAGCCATTTTAAAAGCACCTACTATTTAATATTGTCTCCAAAATGAGTTCATACTATGGTAAAAGAATTCCTTCCTCAAATAACTAATTTACAAGAGTAAATACCTATTTTGTTAATATAAAAACATATTTCTAAGGAACAAGTTTAATCTTACGTAGGAAACAGCTATTTTAGAAGAAATAGGATCAACGAATGGTTATATAACCATTATAACACAAAGTATAACTTTTCATACTCTTTGAAAAATGTAACTTTTACCAGCTATTAAAGCCATATCCAGAGCTTCAGGCTAACTCTTTTTGTTATAATTCATGATTATCAACTAGATTCTCTTTAAGACTTAAAAAGAAAAATGGAAAAATATACAAGTATAAACTTTATTTGTTAAATTTCTGGACAAATAATTTAAGTTGGATTTGTTTTTATTAATGAATTTTTCCTTTTCAAAAATCTCAGCAATTTAAGTTTACTTACTTAGTTTGACATTCCACATTGCTAAAAGACACCACCTCAAATTACAATGACTAAAACAGAACTCCTATTACTTTCATTTGAAAAAAGTATTTTTCCTTCACTTTTCAAAACCACAATACAGTTGACCCATGAACAGCACAGGAGCTGGGAGCACTGACCACTCCAACACAGTCCAAAACACACGTATACAAATTCTGACTCCTCCAAAACTTAACTGCTCATAGCCTGCTGTTGCCTGGAAGCCTCACATAACATAAGCAACTGATTAACACATGTTTTTTATGTTGTTTGTATTGTATACTGTATTCTTACAACGAAGTAAGCTAGAGAAAAGAAAATATTTTTCTCAAATTGTCTCAAATCTCTCAAGATTTTTCCAATATATTCACTGAAAAAAATCCACATATAAGTACACCCATGTAGTTCAAACCTTGGTGTCCAAGGGTCAACTGCATTATATTACAAGATATTCAGTTATTCAACCCAAATTTTATTCAAAGTCATCAATGTTGTTTTCTTTCACCTTCATATCTATTACACCTTTTCATTTCTATTCTAGACTATCATTTCCAAATCCATTCACTTCTGTCTCTACTCCAACAATCACAGGCTAAACTAACACCAGAACTTGCTTAGTTTATTCCAACTGTCTAACTGATCTTCATCTGCACCTTCCATTTCCTTAATTCTAGAATGCATTCTCCAGATACAGAAACTAAAGCATCTTTCCAAAAATATTTAAAACATAATCATAAACCACCCACATAAATCCTTCCAACTGTTTCTCATGACCAAAGAATACAACTGAAGCTCCTCATTGTGGCCTTGTGTGAAGAGACACCTGCCTAGCTCAGTGACGTCACCACCTCCCTCTCATACGTGGCCCAGGCTGTCACCTCTGCACCCTGATATGGCGAGCTCACTTCTGGCCTTGGGACTTTGCAGATGTGGTTTTGCCCCATGTATCTCTGCACAGCTGACCACTTCTCAACCGACAAGCCTCAAAGAAAATGTCATCTCGTCAGAGGCATTCAACTCCCAGAGAATATCCTGCAGTTGCCTCGGTCCCGCTGAGCATCCCTTCCACTAGAGGGCCATGTGACACCTAAGGATTGCCTAGACAAAAAGATGGAGGGAGCTTTAAGAAATCTTTCAACTCCTCTAGTCATCTGACTACTTTTGTTCAGTTCTTTTATTCAGCTGGTAAGACAAGCAAGCAATTGAAGAATTACACTAAAACAAGGGTTTCAAATCAAATCTATATTTGATCACTCCATGTGTCAGCCAAAATAGTAAATGATAATAACAGCAATAAACAGGAATCATGGAGTATTCACAGACTACATAACTGGTAATAAAACAAATTCTTCAAGGGCTTTGAGGAGATAAACATTATTGAAGGTACAGGTTGGAAGATTACTTTTTGCCTAAGTGAGGTTGAATTTTATTATTAAAACTAAGGAAAATTTTTCAATACAGACCATCTAGGTCAGGTACTTAAGAAGTAATGAAAACTATTTTCTGACAAGTTTCATATATCATTTCAAGAAACTTGTATATGAGTCCTTCAAGTATAGTGATTAACAAAGCTCAGTAATTTTACATTTTGCACAAGCTAAAATTTATGTCCTTTGATAACTTTACAAAGAAAAAATTATAGATGCTTGGGCAGCATTCAGAGAATAATTTCCCCCAAACTCAATTCACCTAAACGTATCTGTACAACCAAAAACATGTACAAAGGAGTAAAATACTATTATTTTTCAATTCACAAGTGAGATGCTATCATAAAAAGGGGTTACTGCATACGTAATTTCAAAAAAATACTTAGTATACAAATCACTTCCGTCCCCCTAGTGCTATTACTTAACAAGATTTAAATTTATTCTATGTACCTATTATTGAGGGCCATGCTTCTTACATTCTTTTGAGTCATATATAATGGAAGCCAATGACCCTCTTCCCAGAAAAGTGCCAGTACATGTTAAATATTTTATAACAATTTCAACAAAGGTTCATGAACCCACCCTCTAACCAAAATCCACTGCTGGGTGCCAGAGTAAGAACCTCTAATCTAGGGTATATGACTGTTCTGATCTTTCTAAGGATCAATTAGCCATTTTAAAAGCACCTA